GGAACTGAAAATCTCAAGCACAACCTTGCAAAACCATGTGAGTAAAAGTGAAGATAAACTTTCAGGTCTTGAAGATACCATCACAGCTAGTGAAAAAGTAAGAAAAGATCTCTTAAAAACAACTAGGATGCAGGAAAAGATGATTCATCACTTGCAAGATAATGTAAAGATGAACAATGTGAGACTAATAGACATCAATGATAAAAGAGTCAATACGAATGATATAAAAAGAATATGGGCAGAAGTAATAGCAGAAAACTTCCCAAATATGAGAAAACAATCTGACATTCAGGTAACTGAAGCATACAGAAGGCCAAATAACTTCAATACAATTAAAAACACACCGAGACATATAATAGTCAAGATCCCAGAAATCCAGCACAAGAACAATATACTGAAAGCTGCTAGAGAAAAGAAACATCACATTTAAAGGAAAACCCATCAGAATAACGGCAGACTTCTCTTGAGAAACCATGAAGGCAGGAAGAGCATGGAGCAGAGTACTTCAAGTCCTCTATGATAACAAATTCCAGCCCAGACTACTATACCCTACAAAACTCTCTTTCAAGTTGGATGGAAAAGTGAAATATTTCCATGATAAAGAACAACTAAAGAATTTCACGATGACAAAGCCAACCCTACACAGATTCTAAAAGATTTCTAGAGAGAGAACAAAATGATCAGAACTCCACCAATGATAACAGAAGGAACCCACTAAATAGGACAAACAAACATGGGAGAAAAAGGAGTAAACAAAAGCAGGTAAATAAAATTTCAATCGTAAGTCAATACATCTCATTTATAACCATCAATGTAAATGGACTCAATTCACCAATTAAGAGAAATAGACTGGCACAGTGGATCAGGAAACAAAATCGAACAATATGCTGTAAACAAAAACCACACTTCACTGACAAATTCATAGGCTGAAAGTCAAATGATGCAAAACAATACTACACACCCCAGCACCTCAGAAAAAAGAAGGGGTAGCAATCCAGTTCTCAGACAGTGTCAACTTCAAACCAAGAATGATCAAATGAAATAAAAGAAGTCCACTATATACTGGTTAGGGGAAAAATTCAACAAGAAGAGGTTACACTCATAAATATGTATGCACCAAACACAGGAGCACCCAACTATATAAGATAAATCTTAAAGGACATGAAAAATCTAATATCCATTACCACAATCTTTTTTTATAATAATATTGAGAAACAAATAGCAATGAGTTTCAAAACCAATTACTAGCACAGTTTCACTAAGTAATACATTGCATATTGTCCTTAGTGGTTATTCATTGTACAAGATGCAGACATGATATCCTGTCCACAAACACTATTAGAACAAATTTCTCTATTCAATGA